GATTTCAAAAAAAAGGGGTTTCTACAACATAGTTTCACGGTGGTTTACAAGTCAACCGTAAAACGACTTGGGGAATAGTTTTCAAAAGTCGATATTCGAAAAGAGATTTTACAACGGGATTTTAGTGCTTGTAACTAAATGAGTGAGTTATCATTGTATAAAAATTGAATGATAGTTCTTTTAAAAGCTTAATAGTTTTCGAACAAAACATCCCGACAGGCACTTACAAGCCTAACACGATAGGTCCTTAGAATTTTAAGGATTTGATGTGGGTCCAAGGCCCGCATTAAATTAAGAGATTCCATTAGAGTTTAAATTTCAACGGCCTAAGAGCTAGAATGCCGTGAATAAGTTTCTAGGCCGAATTGGGCTTTAATAATATAATGAGTCCAGTGAGGAAAAATTATGGAGAATACGTTACTAGATTGGGTAAATGATTTTCAACCTAGACATAAGTATGTTAAGGGCAATTAAGGAAAATAAGATGTTAATTGATCCTTATAGTAAATTATCCTTCAGTAAAGGAAAGGAATACATGCCTTAAGTAAAGGGCTGGATTTCCTTCATAAGCTGCTAAAACAAAATAGCAAACGACAGATAATCTCACACTCTCAATGGGTGTTCATTTTTAGAAGTAAGCAAGTAAGAGAATAGGCTATTTGGTGAAAAGTGGATTCCAGCTCTGTAAATCAGGTAAGTAGGAATCTCGCCTACAGTATGAATAGATTTCAAAGAAAAAGTTACACATGTTATATATGCATGTTTATGCTTTAAGTATTGTATGCGATGCTATGTCATGCTGCATACACATAAGCAGCGCACATGAATTATATGTGCTTGAGTTAATTTAATGTTATGTATACTATGCTAGATCATACTGCATACACTTAAGCAGTGCACATGAAGTATATGTGTTTGAGTACATTCCATGTTATAGTATGCTATGCTATGTCATATTACATACACCTTAATAAGTCAAGAGGAACTTATAAGAATAATATCAGTTGAGTGCCGTACTAGCCTCCACAAGGGAGGTAACTCAAGCTCCACAAGGGAGAAAAAGAAAATAACAATAATGTCCTCCGACTCAAGGGAGGCATTCAAGTTATAATCACGGTGTCGTGGGGGACCTTGCAAACCCTCACGTTCCGATGATTGCGCGCAAGTGGTACGCGAGCACTCGGGCCCATCAGTAAGAAAGATAAGATAAGATAATAAAATTATGATAAGACATCATAATTAAGCATAATCAGCTCATGCATATTTATTCATGTGTACTTACAGTTATTTTGTGAGATATAGTTCCTACTTACTGAGCGAAAGCTCAATCAGATATGTTCATGTTGTAGGTAAGAAACCTATCAGCAATTCTTGAAGGGCAATGGCAAGCGGCGGACGAATGGTGGAGATGGGAATGGATACCGCTCACGCAGTTATCTTCCGCAGTAAGTTTAAGAAAAATCATGTATATGCCTATATGATTCAAAAGTTTCAAGTATGTATGTTTAAAAAGTATACGTACATATGTATGTTAAGAAAACCAAGGTTGTAGCTAACAACCCTAGTTTTGAGTATTTAAGTTTTAGAACGTTACAGTACATGCAACAAATAAATGAATTTTAAACATGACGATTTAAATGAGTAATTTTAGAAGGACTTTAAGATGTACTTGAATTTAAGATTTCTCACGAAATCCGTTTCATATGTATGTTAAGAGAACCGAGGTTGTAGCTAACAACCCTAGTCTTGAGTTTTTAAGTTTTAGAACGTTGCAACAGTGCACGCAACAATTAAACGAACTTTAAATACGACGGTTTAAATGATTGATTTTGAAAGGACTTTAAGAAGTACTTGAATTTAAGATTTCTCACGAAATTCGTTTTAAGGTCAAATTAGATGGCCCGAATGTATTGGCTAGTTTTAGAAAGACTTTTAAAGAGGATGTGAAACAAGAATTCAAATGTCACTCAGTTTGAAAGATATTTTTAGAAGGTTTTATCTTAACTAAATTAAGAAAACCTTTAAGTAATTTAGTGATTCATTCTTTTGAAATTATTGTTACGAATTATGAAAGTATTCCTTCTTATGTTTTAAAAAAAAAAAAATGTTCCGCAAATTTTAAGAAACCCCAGTAAGTACAAGTTAAAGTTTAAGTTACAGTGGCGGCCTCATAGGAGGGTCGTCACAAGTTATTCACGGTTTTGCCCATAACTTGTCTGGCTATGAACTTGACAAGTTTGTTCATAACTTATTTGGTTATGAACTATAACTTGACAAGTTATGTCCTATTAATTTTTATAACTAAAAATTGACCTATATACTTTCTTAAGCTTTTCATATTGGCCTATTTTCTACTATTTAAGTAATTTTGAGTATGCTACAAATTTTTTTTTTTTCATTTTATAAAGAATTTAAATTTAAAATGTTCTTCTTTTACAAAGTTCTCATTAATAAATTAAAATTACTGACGTAAACTAAACCGACCAAAAGTATAAAGGTCTATAAATATGAAATGACAAGGAAAGTATAGACAGCAAGAATCTTGAAAACAAAACATTGAAAAATGAACTAAAAAAGAAAAACGACAGTACAAAAAAAAAGCAATCATAAATTGGAAACGACAAAAAGGCAGAAAACAACAATGAAAAAATACACGATTACATATTAGAACCGATAAGAATTTGAAAATGCGTAGGAAAAATAAACGACAACGAGAAATCAACGGGGAGTTAAGAAAACAAGAATAATGGAGAAAATGACGAAAGTTTAAAAAAGATAGTACAAATAGTAGACGTTAAAAAGTAGAGAAAATGAGACAAATACCTTTTAGATTGTATGAGTTTGAATTTTTACCTCTTACTCTTAACTAATATTATTTTTAATCAAATAATTATATTAACCAAAAGAGTATTAATCAAGAGAAATGGGTAAAATTCTAAATTACTTTAAGATAAGCTCAAGAATTTTCTCTAAATAGTATGAAATAACAATAACGTGAAAAATACATCCACCAATAAGAAACGACAAACAATCATTAAACAAACAGGGCATAAACGATGTTAAACGAGAAACGACAAGAATCTATATAGGAAGTAAACAGTCAAAAGATAAACGACGATATATAAGAAAGGAAAAATAATTTGAAATCAATTGAGAAAGGATTAAAGTTAAACGACTACCTTAAATAAAGCGAAAAGTCCAGAACAAGGTCTTAGGGAAGAGAAGAATGAATGACAACCAAGGAAAAAACGGCAAAAGTGCCAAAAACGACAATCAATAAGAAACGACAAGAAAGGAAAAACGACTAGAAGGGAGGAAGCGACATTCACATTTCACGATTATAGCTAGCAGTTAAAGATAACGATGAGTAGGAAACGACAACAAATGGAAAAGCTGCCCCACAAGTAATAAACGACGGTAACTAAGAAATAACAAGAGTGCGAAGAACTACTCCGATTTGACTTTTGAGCCCTCGCAAGTACTTATTTTGGGTTTTGAAAATCCTCTTTTTTAAGGGGAGCTCCAGTGTTACTCAAGTCAACAATCTAAAAATTAGATTGATTTTTATTTTTTTATTTTTATTTTTTTTGTTAGGAATCCTTAGCTTTGCAATGTCATGAAAAAAAAAAGCAAAAAATGGGTTAAGGGCTTTACGAAAAACTGGAAATTTAAAATTCTTTTCTTTCCCTTAATAAATATAACTATATTTTTAATTTTCAATACAAATAAAGATTTGGTATCTTCAATTGCCAAGCATGTTGGTTGTCTATCACTAACCAGACCAGGCAAAGATTCATCCATTTTTTCTTCTGTATATTAGTTTATATTAATCCAGTATTTTTTTTTGGTTCTGGGATTCAGTGAAGATTTGTCATCATGCAAATAAAAGCACCTTCTAATTTCAAGTTTCAACATTTTTTAAGCCATGCTACTTCTATACATACATGAAATTAATGTCAAGTTTCTTTTAAATCTGAGCATATTATTGGATTAGTAATTAGAAAAAGTGTAGCATTAGTAATTAGAAAAGGCACTATTTATTATCATAAAAGAGAGTTAATTTAGGCGGAGGGAGGCTGTGAAAAGTGAAATATCTTTTCTATGGAGATGAGGTTTAAGGAGTTGAGAGTTATTGTTTCCTATGATGATCTATCATAGTCCCACTAGTATTTCACCAATGATGGGTTTTAATTACAAATATTGCTCAAGATTTCTTCCTTTCTAATTATCGAAGCATAATGGTGTGGATCACTATACCTGTAGCAAGCATATTTGTTTGCTTGGAATGAACTATTTTGTTATTATTTTCCTACTGTTAGCATTGGCAATAAGTTGACTAATTTGGAACATTTGCTGGCAGTCTTCCATTTTGGAAGTATGTTTCTAAAGTCTAATACATCCTAAAAACAAGTGGCTGAAATACAGATGAGAAAATTAGTGGAACTTCAAATTAGGCGGTCTTGTCAAATCCTTTACCAAACTCAATTAATAATAATAATAATAATAATAACAATGATAATAATAATAATAATAATAATAATAATAATAATAATAATAATAATAATAATAATAATAATGATAATAATAATAAAAATAATAATAATAAGTATAATAATAATAAGGATAATAATAAGGATAATAAGGAGATTATATCAAGCTCCAAGGAAAGTACCAACTTTATATACTTTTATTGAATAACTAGATTCAAGTTCTTAATTTTATTATAGTATTTTCTCTAATAAAAATATAAATTTAACTTTTTTTTACAGTGTTTTCTCTCACATTAAAAAGTTTGAGTTGTGCAAAGAACACACAAATAATTTAACAATGTAATAGTCGTGAACATTTTTTTTTTAATCTTGATTCAATTAAAAGTTAAATGGAGATAATCATTCAAACATGGCGGCGTGTAGACTTAATTAGAGGCTTCGGTGTTATACAAAGCTCAGTTTGATCAACTTAAAAATGCTCTTCTTATTATTTTCTTGCTATATGTCAACTACTAGCTTTCAAAAAAGTCCTATATTCAAAGTGCCAATCACTCTCCAAAAATCACTTGTCAAATAAAAAACGACTCTCCAAAAATCTGTTAAACCATGGATCAGAAGAAGGCCCAACCAAGTTTAATGATGGTTGTTCTCATCCACTGCCTATTTCTCAAGAGCCATATGTCCATGGGAGCTGATGATACCATCTCTGAGAACCGATCTCTCTCCGGAGACCAAACCATTGTCTCTGCAGGTCATGGAATCTTTGTACTGGGATTCTTTAAACCAGGTAATAATTCTTCGAACTATTACTTAGGAATGTGGTACAAAGAAGTTCCACACACCATTGTTTGGGTGGCTAATAGAGAAAAACCTGTCATGGATAGATTTTCTTCAGAAGTAAGAATCTCTAATGGCAATTTAGTTCTCTTCAATGAGTCCAAACTCCCAATTTGGTCCACGAATGTGAACTCCAGTAGTTCACATTCAACGATTGCTGTTCTTTTAGACAATGGAAACCTTGTTTTAAAAGATGATTCTAATTTGTCAAAACCAATATTGTGGGAAAGTTTTGATTATCTAACTGATACGTGGCTACCGGGGAGTAAACTCGGATACAACAAAAAGACCCAACATAAGTACATGGTAACTTCATGGAAGAATTTAGAGGATCCATCCCCGTGTCTTTTCTCTTTGGAGCTAGTCCCAAGTGAGAACACTTTTGTGATCATGTGGAATAAGTCTAGGATCTATTGGAGCAGTGGAGCTTGGGATGAAAGCACTGAATCTTTTAGCTTAGTCCCTGAGATGGGGCGGAGTTCTTACATCAACTTCACCTTCGTTTCAAATGATAACGAGATCTGTTTATCCTATTCTTTTATTCACCCAAAAAAGAAAAATATCTACAATCTCAATAGCACTGAAGACACAGTAGTTAGATTTTCTATGGATGTTACAGGGCAGTTTAAGGAACTAATACTGAATCCTAACAAGGAATGGGATACGTTTTGGTCTCAACCGAGAGAACAATGCGAAGTCTATGCTTTTTGTGGGGCATATGGAAGTTGCAATGACAATTCAGTGCCATTTTGTAAGTGTCTAAGGGGGTTTGAACCAAAGTCGCAACATGATTGGGATTTGAAGGACTACTCTGGCGGGTGCATCAGAAAAACCAAGCTTCTTTGTGGGAAAAGTACAGACGGTGCAAATGGCGACAGAGATAGATTTGTAAAAATTCCAAGCATGACGTTGCCTGAAAATAAACTATCAGAGCATGTGGAGAACACCGAAGCTTGCGAATCATTCTGCTTAAACAACTGCTCTTGCACTGCTTATTCTTACGACAACACAGGATGTTCAATTTGGAATAGAGACCTCTTAGATCTGCAACAGCTCGGAGTAGGTGACGGTAGGGGAAGAAGTCTCTACGTTCGTTTAGCCGCTTTTGAGTTTCAAAGTACTAAAAACGGAAAGAGACCAATCATTGTTGTTGTGATTGGTTCAGTTGTTGGATCAGTAGTTGCCTCAATATTCTTACTACTACTCGTCATTCTGTTTTTAGTACTAAGGAGAAAGAAGATAGTTTGGAGAGGAAAAGGAATGGACGGCACATTGGTGGCATTTGGATTCAGAGATTTGCAGAATGCAACGAAGAACTTTACGGAGAAATTGGGTGGAGGAGGTTTTGGTTCAGTCTTTAAAGGGATATTGCCTGACTCTACTATTATAGCGGTGAAGAAGCTTGAAAGCGTTAGTCAGGGAGAAAAGCAATTCCGAGCAGAAGTTAGCACAATTGGGAATATCCAACATGTTAATCTCGTTCGACTTCGAGGGTTCTGCTCTCAAGGTGCTAAAAAGCTATTAGTCTATGATTTCATGTCCAATGGCTCTTTAGCTTCTCATCTTTTCCATCAAAACACTTCGAATGTCTTGGACTGGAAAGAAAGGTACGAAATTGCTCTGGGAACAGCGAGAGGGTTAGTTTATCTGCACGAGAAGTGTAGAGATTGCATCATACACTGCGATATCAAACCCGAAAACGTTGTCTTAGATGCAGATTTCTGTCCTAAAGTTGCAGATTTTGGGTTAGCCAAACTTGTTGGAAGAGAATTCAGCCGGGTCTTGACAACCATGAGAGGGACAAGAGGTTATCTGGCACCGGAGTGGATCGCAGGAGTGGCAATAACATCCAAAGCAGATGTCTACAGCTTTGGAATGATGCTTTTCGAGCTTGTATCAGGGAGGAGGAACTCAGAGCAAACAGAAATAAATGGAAAATTAAGGTACTTCCCAAGTATGGCTATAAGCGTTGTTGTCGAAGGAGGCGATGTGCTTAGCCTATTAGATCAAAAGCTTGAAGGTAATGCAAATGCCGAAGAGATTGAAAGAGTGTGTAAAGTAGCTTGTTGGGGCATCCAGG